ATTCATAATTATATTCTATGTAATCATTTTCCATAAAATATTTTCCAATTCTTGGCGTTTCAGTCAACTTGGTTACACCCAACACAACCAATAGACATCCGCTCTGTAATGAAATATTTATAAAAATAAAGTAAATTTTATAAAATATATTGGGTTTGAATGTCTCACCAAATATATCAAGAATAGGATATAATATACGAAGAATAGTGCGGTTGCCAGGAATACGAAAACACTGCTCGGGAAGTTAGTGCTCACATAATTGAACACAAAGTATAGGTTCACAGATATGACCACAACCGACAGGACAGATGCCAACACTTTATTAGCGAATCCGTTGACGAACTCTCCCATCACTTTAGGCGACGACGTGAAAGTTAGGGCCGGCAGTAAAGCGAACGGCAACTGAAGGCTCATCAGAGCGTTGAGCAGATCATTCATTTCGCTTAAGTTATTAATGTTTTGGAAATATGTGATCAAAAGGGTTGGGATGATGGCAATGGTTCGCGTCAAGAGGACCCGTTTCCAACGCGGCCAATGCAGGTCCAGAAAGCCCTCCATTGCGAACTGACCCGAATAGGTGCCCGTCATTGTCGACGACTGCGATACAGACACAACTGAGTCACTGAATCGATGCTCTCATCGCACATACCTGTCCCGCAGCGAATATACCGATGGCCCAGATATACATGGCTTCGATGCCAAACGTACAGCCGAGGAATACACCCGCTTTGTATANGAATGAATGAATGAATTGACAAAATAGTGTGAAATGAATGTAAGACTAAAAGTGGTGTTAATTTCGTTTATATTCTCATTGTTTGCACTATTTTTGTGTGAATTTCTCATATACTATGTGTTGATATCATTGTGCTATTGGCCGACACTTACGGCCACTGATGGCACGCAAGTGTCAGTGGGAGGGGGTGTGGGCTCAGCCATGTCTGCGATGGTCTTGTCTGACACCCATCTGTTGGGTCGTCTTCGTGGCCATTGGTTTGATAGACTTCGTCGTGAGTGGCAAATGAGGCGCTCCTTCCAGACATCACTTCAATTGTTTTCGCCACAAATGGTCATCATTTTGGGCGATGTCTTCGATGAGGGGCAGTGGGCTTCCGATGAAGACTTCGACACATATGTCCAGCGCTTCCATCATATGTTTGCCATCGACTCACTCAAGACTAAACTGATTGTCGTTGTGGGCAATCATGACATTGGTTTCCATTACTGGACGGATCGATATCTACGGCGACGCTTTGAACAGGCCTTCAATACATCGGATGTGGATCTGATTGAAGCGCCAAATGGTGTCCACTTCGTGACAATCAACTCGATAGCACTGGAAGGGGATAACTGCTACTTATGTGTCGGTGCCGTTCAAAAGCTCACAGAAATTGGAGATGAATTGAAAGCGCGAAACATATCACCCGTTGTTTTGATGCATTTCCCACTGTTTCGAGAAAGTGATGCCATTTGTGTTGAATCCGATTCTCTCTCTAATGATCAGAAGAATAACAAAAATAAGGAGAGAATTGATTGTCTGTCGAAAGAGTCGACAGATTTGGTGTTAGAAGTACTGAATCCCAAACTGGTACTCACCGGTCACTCCCATCACAGTTGTGTAGTCACTCACGAGTCGGGCAAAGGGGTGACAGCGAAGGTGACTGAGTGGACAGTGGCCTCATTCAGTTGGCGCAACAACAAGAGTCCGAGCTTTCTGTTGGTGTCACTCACTCCCGATGACTACTCCATCCACAAGTGCTTCCTTCCCAATGAGAACATTGTTTTTCTCATTTACGCCATTAGTCTCTTAGTTATGATTTGTGTCAATATTCGCACCATTTTTGTCAATTACTACACCAAATATAAGTCTAACTAATGATAACTAACTCAGAGTCAATTATCTGTACACCAATTGTAGCTGTTTTTAAAACTTACTTATTTTTAGATATTTATACCAATTATTACACAATTTGACAAATAAAATCAATGTTTATTATAGGCCTAAAAATGATGCACTTTATGCTACTGTTCAGCCGTCAGGGAAAGCTTCGGCTCCAGAAGTGGTTCGCCGCACAACCCGATAAGTCTAAGAAGAAGATCACCCGAGAGTTGGTCACTATTATCCTCTCACGTAAGCCAAAGCTCTGCTCTTTCCTCGAGTGGAAAGATCTTAAGATAGTCTACAAAAGGTATTGAGAATTGACATAAAAATGATTGCAATTACCAATTAATATGATATGAATTGGCGACAGATATGCGAGTCTTTACTTCTGCTGCGCTATCGAGCAAACAGACAACGAATTGTTGACATTAGAGATAATCCATCGTTACGTCGAACTCTTGGATAAATACTTCGGAAGTGTGAGTAATGGTATGACTGAGTGTGCACTGACTATAATAGCTGTTGATGTATGTGGACAGGTGTGCGAATTGGACATAATCTTCAACTTCGAGAAGGCGTACTTCATTTTGGATGAGCTTCTAATCGGTGGTGAGATTCAGGAGACGAGCAAAAAGAATGTGTTGAAAGCGATCGCCGCCCAAGACCTGCTCCAAGAGGTATACATTTTGATAATAAATTGAATTAAAATATTGATTAGAGTTTGACTCAAAGGACGAAGTCGTTGAAAATGCTTTAAAAGAGTTTGGCTTATATTGAATGCACGTTAGAATCGCTAGAATCTCTCACTTGTACTCATTTTGTGATGCTTTTAGTTTGCAATTAATTTAATTTAATTTTCATTCACTTTTGTATAACACAATGCCTTCTAGTCTTAACGCACTGTTGTGTTAATCAGACAATCATTTACTAAATAAAGAGATTATATTTAAATATAAACAAAACTATGACTTGATTTGACTCAATAGGAGGAAACCCCTCAGGGATTCTTCGAAGACCACGGATTGGGTTAAAGGAACTACAGTTTGCTTTTAAACCATTTTTGACACTTTTGGTGCACACATTCGGCAACTCTTTATTTATTGAAATCCGTATTAAATATCATTAAATATTATATTTTCGTTTTATTTTATAGTTCAGGCAATTCTATAATCATTTAAAGATATTTTTAAAATGTACTTTTATTTCCTAAAATGCAATAAAACAAATGTTCAGTATATAAGTTATAATACTTTATAAAACTATGAAATTAAATGCTTAATTCAATTGATTTGCGATTCCAATGACTGGAAATCGGGTTTAAAAATGTATAAATAATTTTATATGATTAACAAACTCGCAGTAACTATGATCACAGACATGATTGTGAGTACGGTAGCAGACATTCCCTCAACTCGTAATAGAATTGGAGGGAAGGACTGCATTGACTTGAGTTCTCGTTTCATCTGAAGGATTATCAATACATTCATAATTATATTCTATGTAATCATTTTCCATAAAATATTTTCCAATTCTTGGCGTTTCAGTCAACTTGGTTACACCCAACACAACCAATAGACATCCGCTCTGTAATGAAATATTTATAAAAATCAAGTAAATTTTATCAAATATATTGGGTTTCAATGTCTCACCAAATATATCAAGAATAGGATATAATATACGAAGAATAGTGCGGTTCCCAGGAATACGAAAACACTGTTCGAGAACTTAGTGCTCACATAATTGAACACAAAGTATAGGTTTACAGATATGACCACAACCGACAGGACAGATGCCAACACTTTATTAGCGAATCCGTTGACGAACTCTCCCATCACTTTAGGCGACGACGTGAACGTTAAGGCCGGCAGTAAAGCGAACGGCAACTGAAGGCTCATCAGAGCGTTGAGCAGATCATTCATTTCGCTTAAGTTATTAATGTTTTGGAAATATGTGATCAAAAGGGTTGGAATGATGGCAATGGTTCGCGTCAAGAGGACCCGTTTCCAACGCGGCCAATGCAGGTCCAGAAAGCCCTCCATTGCGAACTGACCCGAATAGGTGCCCGTCATTGTCGACGACTGCGATACAAACACAACTGAGTCACTGAATCGATGCTCTCATCGCACATACCTGTCCCGCAGCGAATATACCGATGGCCCAGATATACATGGCTTCGATGCCAAACGTACAGCCGAGGAATACACCCGCTTTGTATA